CTCATTTTGAATTTGATGCTCTGCAACTTGTTCCAAAAAAAAAGCTGGGACAGAGTCATGTTTACCACAGTGTTACATCAGTTTAACAACACTCAGTAAGTGTTTGGGAACTGAGGACACTAATGGTTGAAGCTTTGTTGGTGGAATTCTTTTCTATTCTTGCTTGATGAACAACTTCAGTTGCTCAACAGTCCGGGGTTTCCGTTGTCATATTTTGTGCTTCATAACGCCCCACACATTTTCAATGGGAGACAGGTCTGGACTGCAGGCAGGCCAGTCTAGTACCCGCACTCTTTTACTACAAAGTCATCATGCTGTTGTAACAGGTGCAGAATGTGGCTYGACATMGTCTTGCTGAAATAAGCAGGGACGTCTTTGAAAAAGACGTTGCTTGGATGGCTCCAAAACCCGTACGTACCTTTCAGGATTATTGGTGCCTTCACAGATGTGCAAGTTACACATGCCGTGGGCACTAATACACCTCCATACCATCAGAGATGCTGGATTTTGTACTTTGTGCTGATAACGATCCAGACAGTCCTTTTCCTCTTTGATCCAGAAACGTAGACTGATCAGACCACAGGACACTTTTCCACTTCGTGTCAGTCCGCCTCAGATGAGCTCGGGCTCAGAGAAACCAGCAGCGTTTCTAGGTTTTGTTGAGGTCTGGCTTTGGCTTTGCATGGTAGAGTTTTAACTTCCTCTTGTAGATGTAGACAAACCATGCTCTTGAGTCTATGTGGTAATATGCTTGCTTGTGACTGACTGAGCCTTTCGGGGATGCTCCTTTTAAACCCAATCATGACACTTATTTTAATTAACCTGTTCACCCGTGGAATGCGCCAAACAGGTGTTTTTTGAGCATTCCAGTCTTTAGTTGCCCCTGTCTTTTTTTCTGTTGAAGGCATCAAATTCAAACATTACATTAAAACATTATAAACATTAATTATATTGTCTTTGTAGTGTCTTCAATTGAACATTGGTTGAAAGATCATTGTATTGTTTTTATTTCTTTAAAATGGCATTCCTACTTCATTGGAACTGGGCTTGTACATTATTTTCTCTGACAAAAAAAAAACATTATTGCAATGAATATTTATTTAATCTAGTTATAAATAACTTCTACTCCCTAGATTRGATGTGTAACATTAAGGAAAAAGGTTCAGTGGGCTCAGGAAGGAAATTTCTTGTTTATTTTTTTTCTTCTTCATCAAAATAGAGGTTTAAATATCAGGGTAAGTCACACACAGCCGTTTTGTAAGCAAATAAACAAATAAACGATAACAATAAAAGCGATAAAAGGCCAAAAAGCTTAATTGTCACGAGCTCACCCGTTCATTGGCGACAGGTGACCCGACGACGACGGAACTGACAAGTTTCGTGTTTTTAAACCACACAAAAATATCCGGGATAACTTATCCCGCTTGGCTTATATTAGTCCGTGTTTGTGAGTTTACCTGGGAGGCTAGCGCTGACACGGGCGACACAGAGCAGCACGGCGGCGAACAGCAGCTGCGCCAAGGCCCGCCGCTGGTGTCCGCACCGCGGACCGGAGAGCGGCAGCATCCTGGGGTGTTCTCGTTGAGGGAGAGCCGAAGACGAGGGCGGTTGTTGCTGTCATTCCCCCATCACTTTAGTGTTTTATTCTTCTTGGATTTTTGTTTTGTAAAGTGAAGGCGCTCCGGGGAAACGTACACACGGCTTGAAGCTGAGCACCGGGATGCCCGTCTGCTCACTGCGTACAGTAATCCGTGACAAAGCTAAAGATAGTCGGAGGAGCTCGAGGAGGAGGAGAAGGTGATGTGTTTGAGATGCTGCCTTCAGGGCCGCCTCGGAAAACTCAACATGGTCCACGTTATTTTCTGCTTAAACCACTTTATTAGGCTATCAAAGCAAAGTGTAAAAATATTACAACAAATATTAGAATCACTGATTATGTATTGTAAGAAAACGCGTATAGCCATTGTTGAAAATTAAACCGTGGGATGACAAAAACTTGTTAATTTTATGAATATAAGTAAAGCTTCCACTGAAATTTCCACCATTTTCATGTTATCCAATGCTGTCACAAATGTGCGTTACTGTTTTACTGACACGTTACCACAGCACCTGAAGGCAACAGTTTACCGGAGATCAAGGAACGGAAAGGGTTACGTCGTGACGTAAGAAACCAGTGTGGTGAACATGACGTGGGAAATCAACTGGAAATTATTGTACTTTTTTAACAGTTCATTCATTCATTCATTCATTCATTCATTCATTCATTCATTCATTCATTCATTCATTCATTCATTTGTATTCTGTCTTCCATATACAAGGTGAGACTAGTGAGAAAAGTTCAAAACAAGGTCAACAAACCTTTTTTTTCTGTGAAGGAGCCATTAAGTTTCATCTTTCTGTTTTTCAAAAATATAGCCTAGTTTTGTAGTTTTCATTCAACATTTTGTTGTTCAGGTAACTCAAAGCCTAAACAAATAAATAGATATTTATTAGTAATATTATGATTGTTGTAATAATTTGCAAAATGACACCAATTGTAAAATTTTATGCACAATACTCCTGTCACATTTGTKTAAGAAGAGCTCTATAAAATATGATTTGTTGTAAATGAAAGGTGTTTTCTTTGTCTGACTAACATGCTCTAAAATCATGAAGTTCTTATTTAGTGTGTAAATATAACACAGAAACATCAGGTGACTAATGATACTTGTGTGCTCATCTCTTTTACAGTCCCAGATTTTTGGTGGATAATTGAACATTTGAACACTTATTAAAAAATAAAATATTTGAATAAACCACATATATTTTATTCTGCTGACTAAAACTTAAATATGCCTTTAATTGCTTTTAAAATGTGTCTTTGGTTTGATAAAACCARTTACATAAAAAAGCTTGTGAGGCAATGTCTAAGAGACAGAAAATGGTTTTCATGATGAATCATTTCAAATGCAGTGAAGCTGTTTTGTCATTTCTCAGCAGTTTCACTGACATAATCAGCRTCATCATTTACTGTTTTTAGGTCATGTCCCTCTGACAGAAATAGTCACTACGATCGACTAAATGAAGATATGAGCATCCTGTTATCTCCAGTTTTTACACAAAACATTTTTAGATCATTTCACAGTACAGGTATACTCATTCTAAAACAATTAAACATTTTTGTGTGGTTTCATTTTTTTAGAGAAAAAAAGTGAAGAGGGGGAAAAGTTAAAATGCTATCAGTAACTTGTATGCTTTTTTCAGTTTCACAAATTATTTTTAAATAGTTTCCTAAATGACCAGAAATCAGTTAAAATTGTTATACAAATGTAAAAAAGTTGTCTATTCAAGATACACCCCCCCAACCTTTTAGATACCTAAATGGTTTGTTTTTAAAAAATGAAGGCAATCATTACTACAGCTTGTAATAAAAATTACTCAAGTACAAAAAAATGGCAAAAGAGGTGAAAATGATCATTTTCAAATTCATTAACTGCATCTGCTTGTTTCCCAAACCCTCATAGAGGTCTGCCACAGATAAACATTTGACCACAATAATAATAAATAAGATAAATATCAAACAAAATCATCCATTTCTTCTTCATGATCTTTTTATCAGAGTGAAATACAACAAACACGAACCTGAGGTATACAACTTGGCTGATTTTTAGGCCTAACAAAATATAAAACATTTTGAATTAAGACCTACTGGAATATCAGATCAGCACCATTAGAAAATGGTCCACAAAAAATGAGAACATTTTCTGGCACAAAAATTTTTTTCTTAATGCTTATTTCCAGGTGTAACAGGGAAACAAAGTAATCAGGCAACCCACAGGTGAGAGCAGATAAAGGCAACAGAAACTGACATGTTTTTCCTTAGATTAATTGTGAAAACAGTTGAAAATGAAGTGATACAAGAAACAGACAATAAGTGCATGAAAATCAAATTGCATCCAGGAAAACACTCATTTCTATCTTCGCAACAACGTTCTTATCAAAACACTAGATTCACTCTGAAAAATTATAACATCTGATTATTTGATTTATTTTGGGGTAGAAATAAACAGCATATTCAAAGTAAATGTGATGGTAAATAACCATAAAATGAGTTGAAACAAAAAGTGACATGATTGGTTATTTTTGTTTGAATCAGTTTCAATTTTTAAAGCAGCAGCAAAAACTGCAGAGCAGCTGAACATTTAAAGAACCAGAACCCTACGTATCTGCTTCAATAAAGAAAGAAAACTTTTAGATTTCTTTTGAACTAAGTTTTTAATTAAATAGATTATTTCAACTAACCTGTGATTTACAGTATGTGTTAAAAAAAACAACCTATTAACCCCAACCAATTTAATCTTATGATTGAATTTTATATTCTAGACCTCACACACACACTCACACACTCACACTCACACTCACACACACACATCCTTGTACTTCCCTCAAACTGAGGAAATCGTATTGATTTCCATTTGTTTACGTAACTGAATTTATGCCTAACCCAGACATTTTCCCTAAAATTAACCTTAACTGAAGCTTAATTTATCATACCTCTAAACCTAACTAGTTAGAGCGTAGTAGAACTGCAAAAACAAAGTGAGGACTGGGAAAATGACCTCAATTTGTTGAGTAAAAACACATGGACGGTCCTCACTCTGTAGCAGAAACACGTACACACACACACTCGGACTTAAATAATAAAATAACTAAATGCAAAACACACTCACACCAACAATTTTTTAGTGGTTTCAAACTCTCAATCTGCATTCATACTTATAATCCCTGAAGTTTTTAAGTAGTTCAAAATGAACGTTCTAAATTAGCCCCAGTTTATTCCCTTCATCCACTGAGATTACGCTGCTAAGAAATAATGGCAGCTACCACCACCTGCTGGCCAGGTGGTAGTCCGCTGCAGTACTTATTAAAGTGAAACGGTGCAGTCTAGATCAAAAACAAAATTAGTTGCATAATTTTGTGGGGCTTCCCTCCAGAGTGAGGTGAAAATAAATTCACCATGTTCAGGTAGCAGCAACTTACCCTTCTGGATTTTTTTTTTTGGCCTTTTAAAGCTTAGTTTGGTCTCATGAAGCCAAAAACAAACAAAAAATAAAATAAATCCCTTCAGAATGTCTCATAAGTATGGATCCCTCTTCAGTCTCAGGATGAGAATGAATGTAGGTGGGACTCCTGTTCTTTAGCTGTAAACATGCAGGATGTTCAGATGTGCTGCAGGACTGTGATCCAGGCCACATGCTGCTAAAAAAACCAGTGTTGGGACACGAAGCGCAGAGGGTCAAGGATGTGCGTCTGGTTCTGTTTTAGAGTTCAAGCTTTGTGCCGAGTCCGCTGAACACGGTTCAGTTCTGCCCTCCGTTGCTGCTCGTGAGCAGACCTGTTGTTGTTCTCTGAACTCGTCCTCGCCCTCCAAAACAAACTCTAAGGTTGGTCCACCTGCTGCCGTTTCCTCCAGCTCCCCCTCCTCCGCCAGGCGGAGTTTAATGTTCATACTGATGGGTTTTTGTGTTTTATCTGGACAATGAAAAAATAAAAATAAAAAGCATAATTATAAGGAAATCCGGTAAGGGGTCGTTCACAGATTTAAACATTTTCACGAGCGTACAAAATGTTTTTTTTTTTTTTTTTTGGAAGAACTCAATAATGTTTCTCCTGGTCCTCACCGTGTCCAAGCTGCCTGTCTTGTGGAAGCAGCAGCACATCCACATTGTGATGCTCCTCCAGTGCAGCGGTGAGCACGGCCCCCTCACGGCTGAACAGAAAGACTAAAGGCAGCGTGATGTCATCGGTGGAGTCGCCATCTCCAACCATCTGAAAGAGGGGGGTCTCCTCACTGTTACTTCCCTCGCGATGATCTGCAGAAGACGTTTGAGATGATTTTATTGCTATGAGGTCCAGATATCAGTAAGCCTGAGCGCCATTTTTTTAAGTTACTGTCAATTAAAAACAAGCATTCCTTGAAGGAGTGRATACCACCTTGAATGCAAAATAATAATAATCTTTTGTTTTTTTGTTGATGCTCAGAAAATGTGTTAGGAATCACTCTCATCTAATACCAAACCAAAATTTAGCCCAATATTTATAAAACTGAATGAATAACAGCAACAACTGTGTATTAAATTAAAAGGTTGATTAGCTGCAGTAACCATTTTAAACTGGGCTGACTCTGGAAATTTATTAGTTGTAGATGCACATCCAGTGATTGCTTTATGAGATTTCCAATAAAATTAGCCAAGTGGTTCACAAGATATTTTACTAGACACTCACACACACACACACGTTTGTATTTCTATCCTTATCAGGACTGTACATTGACTTCCATTCATTTCCACTAGTTTCTACAGCCTAAACCTGACCCCTCACTCTAAACCAGGGGTTTGCAACCTTTACGATCAAAAGAGCCCTTTGTGCTCCTCGTCTCACTAATAAAATGTGTTCGGAGCTGCAAAACAAGCTACAACTGAGATTATCCACTGCTGGTCCGTGGGCCTTTTTTTTTTTCAAGGTCTTTTCGGGAACCTTTACGGTCAGTGGAGGTGACATTATAAAACTAAAAAATGTATTA